ATGAATTTTGGTCCCAATTGAAGTCGGTTAAGGCGTGTCGCACAGGGATCAAACTTCAGATTACCCCTTGGAAGACGTCTTAACCGTCTCCAATCGGGACCCAAAATGGATATGCGATATCTGTGATCGTGGTATTACCGATTGTGGGGGTGAGACTGGTAAAAATTGTTCATTTGATTTTTTTAGGGACCACCCTCATGTACACATGAGATAAAATTTAAAATATGTAGTTATTTGTAGCACGTAATTGGATTTTAATGAGATTTAAAGCGCACACCTACACACATACATGCGTACATACATGTGGAAGTCATTAAATTTTACTATCCTTTAGCCTGAAAACTTTATTAAGATTAATTTTGAAATGAGTTAAGCTGAAAGGTTTCATAATTTATGGCATATTGTGCATTTTTACTTTGAGTGTATAATTAGGATGTAAAATAATTCCGGAGAAAACAGTGTGGTATTCATCATAAGTCTACAGTGCGCAAATGATTAAACACCTTTATTTTTTTAAATTTTGTTGTCTTTATTATTATGGAATTTGGGCGTTAGAGGCCAAAAACGAATAGACCAAATTTTGGTAGCTTCAACTGGCGTTAGGCGCATTCCGGACAAGGCATTTTGCCTTGATCAAAACACATGGTAGAAAATGAACTTTTTTGTGATAAAATCCAATGTTTCGAGAAATGACAAAAACTGGCGAAATTTAACATTTATCCTTTAAAAGTATTTTAAAACTTTTGAGAGAGAGAGTTTAGGATGAAAATTATCGTTGAATACAAAAATTCCTTTGATTTCCCGTTTTAACTCGAAATCAGTATGATGAAATTAAAACAAAAAATGAACATAAATTTTGGCTGACATTTTAATTTTTTTTAGTTATTACATGCTGTATTCATGTAAAAAAAAATCAAAAACTCTAAAAAGGTAAAATTATTCTTATATTCAAAGAGACCTTCAAAAATAGCATGTAATGCACATAAAGAAATTTTTAAATGTTTTTTTTTTTGGCTCTTGTGACCATGGAAATGGAAGTTTTTTTTTTTAATTTCTTATATTTTTTTTGTATTATGGCGCGGGCCCCTAAGCTAGCGCCTATGTAGCCTATGCTTGAATCCGGTCCTGAACTACCATCGCTCCGGCACTCTTGAAGTCCAGAAACCAGAAAACCGCACTAGGTTAGATTAGGTAAAATGAGGTACAATGATTAGATTAAATTAGGCTAAACTTTGGTTTGGTTCTGATTTGATTTGGATTTGGCTTTCGTATAGTTTGGCTTGATTTCAGTTGGATTTGATTTAGGTTTTGGTTTGCTCTGGTTTAGTTTTGAGTGAAAGTTTGGATTTAGGTTTTATTTGGTTTCGTTTTGCTTACTTTTCTTTTGCACCGGTTTAGTTTGGTTTGCATTGAAGTGGTTTGGTTAGAATTAGGGACCGTAATAGTTACAACTTTTATTAAAAAAATCGATCTTTAACAATTATTTTTTTACTTTTATTAAATTACTCCTTAAATAACCGTTATTTCTGACTTTTATTTTATAAATCCAAAATAACAATTATTTTTTAATTTTGTTTAAATAATCTGCAAATAACAGTTTTTTTTATTTTTATATTATATGCCTTAGATTACAGTTACCGAAGACTTTTATTTATAAAAGTCATAAATAAAAATCAGTCACTGACCTTTATTTTTTAAATAATACTTATAAAAGTCATTTGTATAAGTCGTAGTAAACTTTTGTGTCCCAACACCTTCTTAACTTCGAAAAACATTAATGACTTTTGTACGAATGATTTAAAAAATAAAAGTCGGTGACTGATTTTTATTGATGACTTCTAAAAGTAAAAGTCACTGAATAAATAAAAGCCTTCAATAACTGTTATCTGAGGCATATAATATAAAAATCAAAAATAATTGTTATTTTGGATTTATAACACAAAAATCAAAATTAATTGTCATATTTTTTGATTTTGCATAAAAATTGCAAATAAAAATTTATTTTCAAATTTAAATATTTTCAAATTTAAGAAATCGATTGATATGTATCACTTAGTAGTAGAACATTTGCTGCATAGTGAATTTTTCCGTAACAATTTTCGTAATTAACTGTTATGTTCGGTCCCTGGTTAGAATACATGGATTAAGTAATGCCGTAGTTGGCAGAGTTGACAATAAAGCGGTTATTTTTCTTACACAATTATGGTCCCGATGGGGTACAAATTAGTATAAGAATCAGCCTTTTCATTTTAAACAAGATCGCATAAATTTATTTGTCTTCCTTGAGGTAGGTGGTGTTTGAGTATACATCATCGAAACAGATTCCCAAGACTTTTGAGTTCTACTCAGCTCTTTACACTGAAAAGCGGTGACGCCAGAATAAGCGAACTTTGTAGTCTAAAACATAAATTTACGAGGAACTAAAAAAAGGAACAGTCCAGCGCCTTCGTCTTGGTCTGCAGGCTGTATCGGAGATACACCCGCTAAATTTAAACGTAGAATACGTGGTATGGTTAAGAGCATATCCAAGTCAAAAACGAAAGCACAAACTAAGAAAAAAATATCGATAACAAAAGCGATAATAAAATCGATAACAAAATCGATAAAAATATCGATAACAAAATCGTTAACTAAATCGATTACAAAATCGATAAAAAATCGATTACAAAATCTATCGAAAAAT